TCTGTCCTCAAATCCACCTTCTCTCATTATGGCTTCTCTCTCCCCCAGCACGTATGTCAGCAGTATTACTAATGAACACTGTTATAGACAACCTGGTCTCCATACAAGCTCATTGGAGGACTAAAGATGCTGTATACTACCAGGTAAACTATATGTGTGTGTGTGTGTGTGTGTGTGTGTGTGTGTGTAATTCTTGTAATGTGAGATTTTTTATGTTTTATATTTTTAGGGGCAAAATGAGTTCAAGTGTTTTTACTAAAAAAAAAAAAAAGACGACATGCAAATTTACTCCTAAAGACCAGCAAAAAAACTGTTAAGGAATAACTGTTGCTAGATTACTTAATGATTGTGTTTAACTACCCTACAACATTATGGGTTGAAAAGTTCTGTCATGATTTCCTGAATTTCCATATTTTCAATTTACACCAACTTGTATGAAAATGAACCTTGTGTTTAGAAGCAAACAAGCCTACAGAATGTGATTAAAGTTTTGAAGTTCAAGATTGAATTTCTTAAGATATTGAATGGGTTAATCTCTTAGCATGGGATATGATTGAGGTAATTCAGCAAAGCAGATTGGCATATTTTCCAGAGTAAAACATCACAGCTCAGACATCATTACCAGATTTGAAGTTTTTTCCCTCCTTCAAAATTTTTGATGGTAATTTTTTAAATGAGCATCATGACACAGTTGTTATTGTCAGCTTCAAAAAGTTTCTTCCTTCTGTCATAATAGTTGTTTTGTAATTGTTGAAAATGAATATCAGGACACAGTCAATATTATCAGTTCTAAAGAAGTATTTTCATTTTTCATTTTTTTTTTGTTTCATGATTTTTAGAATGTAAATATCCAAAACACAAAATATTTTTATCCACACTATGACACACACTGTGGTCTATATAGTTCAGAATAGCAAAGAGAGAAAGAGGATATTTATCTCATAACAATGCCATTTATTCTACTTCCAGGCACGCCTGTGTCATGAGCTCGGCTACACAGCAGAGAGGAACAAGTTTGCCCTTCAATTTAGACAACTGGATCAGAAATACCCAACTGTCAACTCTCTAGCCATCAATGTGTTATAATACAATTCAGACAACTGGATTAGAAATTATAAGATGGAGTTCACAAGGAATATCTACTTATGGAGGAAATGAAAAATAACTCACAGCTGTGCTTAACCCTTGGATTAATAAAAAACGCCTTAACTGTCATTGCTATCTAAAAGCATGATAGCTAAAATGCACAAATAAAAATAAATTGAAATAATTTATACACAGGTTCATTTAGTAGCTGGAAATGGCAAAAGAGCATGGAACTCTTCAATGAACTGAGACTTGGTAAGCTTATGTGGATGGATAATTTATAGAAAAATTAGTTGTTGAAACCTATATAACAGAGAGACACATTGGATGTAATGTCCAGTATGTTGCTTTACCTTATCTGAACATTGTAATACATGGAGTGGTTTTGTACATAATCTTACTACATGAAATAAATGAATATTTCTCCTTTTTTTTTACATACAGACAGATGTGTTTGTACATAAAGCCATCACCTGTGCCTGTGGTCACTGTCATCACCCTCGTCAAGAACTTTTAGTGATAAGTGGAAAATCGTTTTACCTTTTGTCTTCAAACTTACAGAACTGATGAATTGTCATCAAATACAGTTCAAGTTCAAAAGTTGGCTTGATCAGACCATTTCTCCAAAAATTATGCAGTTTTCCTTTTCTAAGCATATATGCAGTACAGAAAACACATTTTAAGGAAAACTTATTCTCCTCAAACTTACAAAAATGATGAGTATTACTCAAATACAGGTTGGGTTTGAAAACCAGCCTGATTGGGTTATTTTCCTGAAGTTGACAAGATTTTTGTGAAATATCTTTTTAAATCATGGCATTTTCAAGGAGTGAGGTTGAACTTCCACATCCTTCAAATGTCCTGAATATCCAGGATACTTATATTATATTATATTATATTATATTATATTATATTATATTATAAAAGAATGGTGTAAAGTATTATGTAATATTGCATCAAAATTGAAGGAAATCCTATTATAAGGACTGCTGCCATAATGACCATTAAAGAAAAACTTACTGAAAAGATTCATAGGCCCAAAATACAAGTTGGGTTCGAAAAATCAACCTGATTGCATTATTTTTCTGGAAGTTAAAACATTTTTTGTGTGAAACATTCATTTTTATATACCGATATTGATTTTGTCGTTGTCGCCAAGCACTTTCAGTGTTATAATAATAAGTGGAAAACCTCTCTTCAAACTGACAGTACTGATAATAATTCATAAAATTAAGTCCAGGTTCCAAAATTGGTGTGATCGGTGCCTTTTTCCAAAAGTTCCGCTGTTTTTTTTTTCAACATATATTATTACCGTTATATAAATAAGAAAACATGGAAGGCCATGGAAGGTCAACCTCACTCCTAGAAAATGCTATGATGTGAAAAAATAATATTTCGTGTTCCATGTTTTGCTTTAAAACTTACAGGACTGATTGATATTCAGCCATTACTACTTCTAACAAACTAAGCATTTTTGTAAAAAAAAAAACAACTACAGGCCTATTGCCAAACCCACACTTTAGACTCTTCCTGAAACATGCACATACACTATCATTGCCTTTCAACGTTTTAGAACTACATGTATTAACAGATCTTTTACCGGCCACAGGCTCCCCGCTTTGCAAAGTCATTCAGAGTTAAGAAGCCACAATGCAATCTATTGTTTTTGTTCACGCAGATTAAAAAATATTTGGCAAAAGACTGAAACATTTCGAAAGCATAATGGATAAGCGTGCACGCAGAGCCAGGGGTGGGGGGGGGGGGGGAAGAGAAGATCCGCTTTCTCAGTTGGGTTAGTTGGTGTTCATTTAACGTTAACTGAGAAAGTTTACTCGTATATGCAGTTATTACAAACAATGGCCGCGGTTTAAATGATGGTATCTCGGTTCCTTTTGGAACCAGCTTCGTCCCACGACAACATTAACATGCATATTTTTCAGGATGTTACTTAGACAATATCTCCACGTGGTAATGCTTTGGGTCTTTTCTTGGCATATCCTTGTTTCCACAATGACGGCACATTTTAGTGAATTAAGTCATCGTGCGTTCTAATGAAAGAAAAAAGAAAAAAGTTATTGGCTTACACTTTCACTAATTGCAGGTAATAATTAAAGAGCAATCAAATAAGTAAAAGTATAGGGAGATATTGAGTGTAAGTTAAATTTCTTTAAGACTCATCTAGTATAAAAATTGATTTCGTGGTAAGAAAAGATGGAAAATGTCAAAGTCAGACATAGTTTGATTTGATTTGTTAATTTCTCAATAGATTTGCATGTCACTGCCACGTGTTAAACACTATGCCCAAGCATGAGTTATTCAAACAATATTTTAAATATTTTTAATTGAAAACAAGTTTATTAGAAATTGCCTAATAAGGAAATGTTGAATGGTGGGATGCAACATGAGAAAGGAAAATTCTTGTAATCACGCAAAAGACAATGGAACGAAAACAAATAAATGCGTGATCAGTACGGAGAAAAGCATAAATTATCTAGACGCTAAAGCTTAAAAAGGCCTATCTCCACTCCTCAACATATCACATGCAAAAAAATGGAGAAGAAAAAAATCTACCAGTATTTTTTTGTTTTGCAATCCTCTCTCTCTCTCTCTCTCTCCCTCTCTCTCTCACACACACACACACACACACACACACACACACACACACTTATGCATTGAATATTTTTCAACACTATTTAGCTCCAACAATTAACAGAAAAAACCTGTTTTCAGGGATTTCTGAACGTAGCATACCGAGTATTTTCGCTTCCTCTTTGTTAAATTCAACTTACTTTTCTGTGAACACGAACAGTGTTGAAAAGATCTTTGTCACGATCAAGAGCAAAACCATTCAAAGTGCCCAATTGCCTCGTGCAAAGCTTCACAAAATCTGATTAAAACATGTCTATTGGTATTCATATTAGGTGGACATTCCCTGTTAAGAGAAAAATTTGCTCTCTCTCTCTCTCTCTGTGTGTGTGTGTGTGTGTGTGCGTGTGTGTGTATGCGTGCATTGGTTTCTTTTGCTAATTTTCTCACAGGCATTAAAAATAAGCAACAAAAACATTTGAGGTGCAGTGTTAAATAGTATGTTTACTAGTATCTGTAAAATCTGAAATTGATTATTGCAATAACTTTCCTCAATCATAAATAAGTAGTCTTGGGAAAGTCATTTGATTCATATGTTGCGGGGATGCTTCTGGAAATATAATAAGAGGCAAAACGGTTTTCAATTTGTTCCATAAATATTCTTAAAATATATACAAAATTAGTAACGATAACCATTCTTAATATCAAGGTTAACGATTGTGTACACAGCACATAATGGTTATATGCACATTATTTAGTTCTTCACAGCAATTACCATTTTCATCTCCCAAAACGATACATACGTTACTGACGCCAGTCAAAGACTTTTTAGTTTAAATGTTAGCTCTGTGAAGTACATGTTTTCTGGCTGCCATTTGTTTCAAGTGGAAACGACTTGTCATTTGGGGAAAAACTTTTCATTTCATGTATGTATCTATCCGTAAAATGGACACTTATTGGCACTTATTGTTTTTTACGTCCTCATAATGCCGATGGTGCTAGGTGTGGATAATTGTTTGGTAACAAAACAATGAAAAGTTGTAAATTCATTCCGTATTCACACAAACGCTATACTAAGAAGCCCAAAAGTCGGCTTTTCTTTGTGGACATACGGTCCTTATTGCTGACTTTGGGTGTTTCTTCAAGTTACTGACACTCGTCAATTCAACATTGAAAATCCAATCAAGTTGCCAGGATAGCCCGAAGCCGTTTGCTTAATCACATACATAAAGCTTACTTTACCCACATTTACATAATAATTATTTCGTTAAAAAATTGGCCGCCTTGGAACAGTATATAAAGTCCCGCAACAGAGGACTTGACAGTATGCTGACAGTCTCTCTCGGCTGAGTTTAACAGGATTGAAAAACCGAAGAGCAAGAACAACAGCAGCTGGTTAACACAGAATACATCATTAAAGGTGAGCCTTATGTATTTAACCCTTCTTTAACTTAAATACATGTATATAAGTAATTTTTTGAAGGATGAAATCAATCCATTTTGTTAAATGTTGATTCTTTTTTGCTCCCGCGGCGAGAGAGAGGGGGGGGGGGAACGTTAGGAATTCTGCATTTTTATCATCTTTCTTTTTCATTTCAAAGCATTATTTTTAATAATTGTTTGTTTCAGGCATGTCTTCTTATATGTTGATTGTGTTGGTGGTTATCTGGTCGTCATGTGTGTTGCAGACGGAGGCTGCGTGCTGCAGAGCAACTAAGGGCTACTGCAAGGACTGCACAAGTGTAAATATGACATAATCATTTCACACAATTGAATAAATAAATAAATAAAAATTGTAATGAATAGGTAAGCGTGTGTGTACATAAATTAAAGGGATAATAACTCTTCGTATGAGATCTATATTTCACAATAAAAACATTTTGAAGAACTCAGAAAAATAACATATTCTGTTTTACGGCAGTTATAGCTATTATTCTGATATCTGAGCTTGTCTTTAGACCACGTGACCTCCACTGATGGCTACTCTGTTAAAATCTCTTAAGAGATTTTAACAAAAAACCAAACTTTTTAGAAAAAAAAAAAAAAAAAACAGGGACTAATTTTGAATGTAAAAATGGATTCATTAAGCATTGGTAAGTATGGTAAAATTGTTGTTTACTCCAGGAAAATTCATTTTGTGGCCGAAACGAAGAATTATTATCCCTTTAATTGTCAGCTACAGATATATTTTAATGAAGAAAGAGACAAAGTGGGAAGAGGGAACGACGGGTAAGAAAGTTTTTTAAAGAATATAAAACTTTTAATAGACAGTTTGATTTCAATTTTCATTCAAGGGAACGCCCTACTGTGGCTATAGACGATGCAATATATTCGGATGTAACTGCGGTGGTGGTTGTCGATATCGCTCTGGATGTTATTTAAGTAAACATTGGGGAAGGTAAGTAGTATATTTATATATTAATTAATAAGAATTTTTTGATGCGGTTCTGTATCGAATGATTTTAATCAAAACCATGGTTAAACCTAGATCACATTAGCCACGGTCGTCGTGCGTTGATTTTTTTTTTCGTCGAAAATGGCCACTGACTACGGCAAGAGCGTTTACGTATACATTATGCGCGGGTGTCGGTGTAACAGGAATGGAAGTCCGCGAGGCACCGTAGTCCGATTCCCATTACTTTGTATAGGTGACATACGTCCCATACACTAAGTTCAACACTCCGACTCACTTTTACTAATCAAATGAGAGCCCGGACTCCCATTCCTAAGACTTCTATTCCTGTTACACCGGGACACATTTCCAAAATGACCTTGAGGCCAGGTGGGGAAAAATCGGTTGTTTGTTGAGAAGTGGTCTTACGGAGGTCATACGGAGGTTTCAGTGCAGTGCGGCTTCCTTGAAGATAGAGACGTTATCGGCGATTTTAGCACCTTTTGTGCCCGAAGTAAGGAAACGCACAATTCCGTATTCATGCAAACAAATTACTCTAATTACTCAGAGTTTTTAACATAATTACTAATGTGATACCGCCTAAAACCACCGAACGTGGAAGGGAACGAGACCAACAAAAGGTTCAACCATTATCATGATCAGCGCAAGTTCATCGAACAATGCCCCCAGGGAACCGTGCCATCCCGTCTACGATAATGCTTAAATTTGACAAAAAGTTACCTTGACAAATCGTAGAGGCTACGGAATCCCTGAATCTGTACGATTTTGAACGATTTTGCACGGCCACCGCCTACCTCCGCAAAGACGCCGCACGAAAATGAATTAACGGGCAATGTACTGGTACCTTACGGAGATCGCGTGGCAAATATAAACTTGGTTTTAATAAGCAAATTAATAAGATGACAAGCAACGTTTTAAGAGCTTGATTATGTAAAAGGTCGAATTCAGTCCCTTCTTTGGTGAAAATTAAGCTTCGTAGATCTGTTTTATATTTATTTATTTTCAGGACCACTTGTCATTGTGGCTGGTATGGGAAAAGATCGATAGAATTAGATGACAAAAACGAAGAAACTGCATCCCCACAAAGTTCCTTTTCGGCCCTCGACAAAGACGGGTAAGCTATGCAATGCTCCAGAAAACGTCCCATTTATTGCCTGTCTCAGTTATTTGACATTCATACCTGCAAGAATAAACTTGTAAATCAAACAATCTCATTCATTGTGATAAAATATATACTAGAAACACTGGAGTAGAACTACAATACGCACACAAACCCAACCACGGTGTTCATTTTCAATAAATCATTTCGTGATTTTCAGATCAAATTCTTCCTTTATATAATTCAAAGTTGAATTGAAATTTTAGAAATTTAATAAATAAATAAATGACTAAATTGCCTATTAGTTTAAACTGAGGCCTAGCGTACTCTTGGTTTGGAAAATATTTGTCGCCTTTAGTGAGTACAAAATAGTACATAACATGTTTAGCCATCAATCCTGTTCATTGAAATAATTTTTCATGTACTACTGTTTTTCAGAAATGGCTACCTGGATTTGAACGAGTTCGGTCAAGCAATCAAAGGAAGCAAGGGGAAAGTGGACGCGGATACCATCCAACGTAAATTTGCCGAGATGGATGATAATAAGGACAAAAGGATCAGCCCTGGCGAGTTCGACACAGATCTTGCTTCACCCAACGACGAGGGAGAAATCGAAAAGGAAGTAGCTGTTTAACAACAGGACGGAGTATCGGATTACGGTGACGCGATGTCCCAGATGGACATAGACGATCTACGTAGAATGTTGGAACAGTGAGACAAAACCTCACCAGAATTAATGTGACGCTTCTCTCTCTCTCTTTTCTTGCTCTTTTCTCTCTTTCTTCATACTCTCTCGCTTTCTTTCTCCCTCTCTGGCTTTCCTTATTAACCTTGTACCTGCGATTTCAGTGATAATCCATATGATTTATAATCAGACTTATCAGACACAAGAAGTATTCAGAATCAGGCAATAAAAATCAAGTGGGATTTCATTTCATGTGAAGTTCCTCATCCCGAGTGGATCTAGCATGCAATTAAATACGTGCACGTTGCTCTATGGCCAAAGACGAACAGAATATCCCAATAAAGTTTTGCTTTAATGAAACCATTCGTCTCTTCTCTTTTGTATCTGAATCTGTAAATTGTTGTTTTTAAATTGTTGTCTGTAAATTGTGCTTAAAAGAAAGAGTTGTTTTAATGTACACATAAAAAAGCTCGGAAGCACATGTGGGCTGATGTTTATTTTCAACTTGAAATTTATGTATTTTGAGTAGGCGAGTGGAGAGTTACACAAAGTTAACACAGTCACAATTTTAAACTTTTTTTGAGAGAAAAAATCTTAATCGTGAATCATTCTTTGTCCTACAGAAAATTTCAGAGACCGAGCAGCTGCTATTGCCTATACAAATTATACATGCACGTTATTCACTCCTTCACATAATTATGAAAGTTCATGATATTTTGTTTCAATGGAGTGGAAAAATCCAACTCTTGACGCTTTCTTAATCCTCAGATGATATCTTAATCTATATTGATGACATCTTAATCTTAATTGATGATACTAAATTTTGACGATATCTTAATCCTGTGGTGATATTAGGATCAAAACAACGAGTGATAAAAAATAACGAGTGGACCATATAGGAGTCTATTCCTGAAGTTAAAACAAAAGTTCAATATTAACACAATTTACTTTAGATAATTCATGTATAGCGAGCTTTACAGTGTAGGACCAAATTCCTAAAGTAACACTTACTCGGATTACGTTAATACCGTCTTCAACGATTGCCAGTTAAATTTCGAATTGGATGAAAACGTACTTATGATCAACGAATGTGTCTTTATTTTGTTTTGTGAATGATCTAAATATAATTTTACATTTATGCAAAATTTATATCTATCAATAAATACTGTATTCTGGAAACACAAGTCCATATTAGGAGGTGGACGTCAGAGATGTCACGTGGGCCAACGAGGTTATGACGTCATCACGCACCTATCCAATGAGAGTGAGCGATCCCCACTTGGTCAGGAATTCGTTTAGACTCACAGATTTATCACCTGAAAATATAGTTCACAGAAACTCTATAAAAGATAAATAAATATAATGATAAAAATTCTTAATTCATGATCATTTAATGGAAAAAATAAATACATACACTTCTAATAAAATGAGCAAGTGTTAAAAATACTTTAATATCTAACATCGAAAACAAGTTTTGAATGAAAAGGAAAATGAAAATCTTAATGAATGGACATAACGAAAATTAAAAAGAAAGAGATGGGAACGCAGAGAAATAGAGCGATGAAGATTAGTCATGCTATTCATGCGGTCGTGGGCCTATTTTTCATAAAAATGTCTTAAAATAGACTTAATTATAGTCCAGTATTCAGGTCTGTAGCCAGGGGGTAATGGGAGGAGGGGGGTTCGAAAGAACCACCCTTTTTGTCAGGAAAAGGTCCATTCAGGGCAAAATCTGATCTAGGTACACAACAGTTTTATTGAAAAAGGTCCAC